TTTTTCCTTTGTTTTTATGACTTTTTAACTTTTTTCTTTGTCCTGAGGAAGGGACAGGGCGTCCCGAAAAATTGACAATTTTTATTGTTCGTGTCGTTGGTCATTTTAGTGCTTTATATATATATATATATATATATATATATATATATATATATATATATATATATATATATATATATATATATATATATATATATATATATACATATGTATAATTCGAATTTGAAAAGTATAAATTATTCAATTTGATTTTTTCAGGACAGATATCATAACAAAAATTGAACTAAAATAAGATTGTAACACGTTTGTGTGTATTTTGCACTATTCAGCGGAGACAGATAACGCGATCTCTGAAGACCTAAAAATAAACTTAGATAATGACCACACTAGGGTGACCTTTTAACCTGAACAATTCCCAGAACATGCAATTCATTAGAATGCGGTTGTTTACTTAATTGTTTATCGGAAAATGTATTTGGTTAGCAGGAAGAAGCAACCAATGAGATTGGAGTGACCAGAGTTCAGATGTTTGGATAAATAAACTGCAGAAAACAATATTTTTATAAAGATTATGCAAAAGATTTTTTATTTTATTTTATTTTAAACGTGCATTAAAAGTTTAAAAAGTATTTAAGGTTAGAGTAATAGTAATTAAAATTTAAATTAAAATTTAAAGTAATTATTGCAAATGTCGAAGGAGTTACAAATATAGAGATGAAAATCTACAAAAGTAAACCTAGTATGAAATGAACGGCCGGGATAGACAAGATTTCAGTGGGAAGCTGAATCTTGACTGTCTTGGTTGTATTTCATACAGGTGAGATAATTTTCTAAACTTGCGGTTTTTGTCAAATAATTAAAATTTTCAGATAGCTTAATTTATTTACAGGTTACATTTTTATGTTAAATCTAATAATGTTTAGTATAATGTTTTGTATATTGTAAGAAATTATTTATTGTAATCTAGAGATTACAAATAGATTGTTTGATTTAATAAAGAGTGGGAAGCTGAATCTTGACTGTCTTGGTTGTATTTCATACAGGTTGGGTAACATCTCCACTCCCCAACCATGGCAGCTGCTCTGGTACACAAATTTATACTGAATTATATAATAATTAAAAAAGAATAGTAAAGAGCCATCCCGGTACCTCCACAAGCCAAGCGAGTTCAAAAGGAATAGTGAAAAATAGTCATCCCGGTACCTCTTCACGAGTCCCAGTGAATGAGGTTATCCTGATTATGGAAGGCGATCACTTAAATTCTTTTTATTTATTTACTTTTTTTTATGAAACTGATTTGAAATATTTGTAGCCACCATCATGTATAATTTTGCTTGTTTACGTTGACTAGTAGTAATTTTATCGAAGTTGTGATCGACCCTCGAATGTATAACAACTTTTCTTTTTTTTTTGTACCGTAAAAGTAGAATTTTTAGCGAGGATTTGATTTTGGCATTATAATCGAGGGTGCTGACATCCCTCAAATTGAATATCCCTAAACATGCGTATTATTTCTAATAGATTCTTTAGTAACCATTTTTAAAGCGCTAAAATTACTTCTCGCTAAAATAAAATACCAATTCTCAGGTAGAAATCACTAAATTTGCGTCTGGCTAAAAGAATGGGTGGACTTAACTGGCCAGAAAAAATGCCGTAAATTTAAGTTTCATAAAATGTTTATTTTTTTCCATCTTATAAATCCCTGCTATCTTAACTGTGTATTCATGGTACGGATGTGAATTTAAAACACTCTTTTCGAGGTAAACTAAATAAATATCGAAGGCATGGTGCCTGAAGATTTCTTGAATATCAAGAGATAATCAGGGTCACGCGTTTTTCATCGTCTGAATGCATAGTCAGCACATGTTTGTCGGCTTTCTTAAGAAAACTGTAGTTGTATATTGAACAAAATAATGTTATATTAAAAGGAGAAGAACCGACAAAAGTGTGCTCATACTTAATTTAACAAAAATACATGTTCAAAACAAACTTCTCGCTTCCATTGAAATGTCTTCGATTGACCTGTTAAATATTAAAATTCGTCACGTGATGTCCACCTGCAAGTGTACTCGTGAAAACAGTTACATTGTATTCTTCAACCTGACCTCGATCTTAATCTTGTCTTTGAGCGTGTTTTGTTGCCGTTTTCAGAGTTTAGCAAATTACATATTGTTTTAATTTTGCGTGTCATCACATTTTTAAAATAATTTCATATTGACATCGCTGTAAAATGCTAAAAACGTATTCGAATTTTTGGAAGGAGAGAGGGATAGAGAGAGAGATGTCAATAATGACACCGATCGATAGCCCCGCTTCCTATAAATATTGATTGTGTGAAATAAAAATCACTCCGGGTACATGTCGAATTCCGGAAGACGACACTCATGTATCGTTGCTTCAATTTTGATACACGACAACAGGGCATTGTTTTTGCACGAATGTTCCACCTAATATAACCAAGTATATGTTGCTCTTTACATTGCACATAATTTATTTTGGATTCACTTCATTTACAGATTGTAAGAGGAGTCGCAAAAAGATCCAAAATAGGGCGTTAAGTCCACCCATTCTTTCCACTTATACGGTATATGTTTTAGATAACTTATTAGCTTCAATAATCAATGACTAATTTCCTAAATTAATACATTATAATAGCACGCTAACGCATGCGTTAATGCAACATATATTATATACACTTACAGTGTGATACTTATTAATTTTAGAGTCAAACATCTTTTGAAGAAGGGGGATATGGAGACATCAATGATTAGGTCATGGGCCTGCATAACCTTTGGGGGTTACTGTCTACTCATAACGAGGCACTCTAAAAGTTTCTGTATACATGTACACGAAATTGTCTTTCGGTTTTTTAATGTAAACAATGCAAATCAACTGCATTGTTTATAAATAAATGAATTGCAATCACAGGCACAACCCCTCGATAAAAAACTAGTTTGCTGTTTTTCAATGAAATATTTATCATACACACTCTGAACAAACTTTATCGACCCATCCGTTTTATATGCAATACTTCCTATCACTTACTTGTAGATATATCAACTTTAGATTTTTAACTCGTTATAACGTCTTAGTTATCTCGTTATAACGAGTTTATTTCCTTGTTATAACGAGATAATTAACACTCTGTAAATAGAAAACTAACTCGTTATAACGAGATAGCTAAGTCGTTATAACGAGATATTCACTCGTTATAACGAGATAACTAAGTCGTTACTATACACCTATTTACTGGCTGCGCCTCGGGAAATAGTTTACTGTCTTCGGGGACGATAAACTTGCTATTGTCCTCATAGCCAGTAAATAGGTGCTTTATTACACCAATGCTGACTACTTTTGTTACGTCATTATATACTAGTCAAAAAGTCCCCGGGTAAGTTTTTGCTTTACACCTCTCTTATATTGAATTATTTTAACAGTATAATTTAATTAGTATACAGGATAAAAAAGTAGCAATACAGTTTTTTCTCACTTAATGTATTTTATGGAAGCACTTTAACATAATATGTAGACATGTCAAGACACCCTAGAAATAAAAAATCACAACGTTAAATACTGCATTATCCTCCATTCAAACGAATTCACAGCAAGACAACCGTTCCTCAATGAGTTCACAATATCAAAGAAAAAAATCTTTAATTTATTGAATGTTTTTCCATGGGGAGATAGGTCGTCCTCTAGTTCCGCTAGATTCTGATGCTGAAAAAACTTCTTCCATACGTGTTAATAAGGGTTGAGATTAGGATGACAATGAGGCTTACGGAAAGTACCTGTGCCTAGCTAACAAAAGTTACATAATGTCTTATTACATATGTACCCCAGTCCTCCAGTTTGTCCTCTAGTTTGACATTGAGGGGAAGGCACTTCCGGTTCCGGCTCTATTGATTTTTCCGGATAAACTCTAGGATGATTTTGTAGTGTTTGTTGAAAATCTAGCGATTTCTAATGATAAGAAGGAATTCATGTATGCTTTGTAGGTTTTTCTGGCGATAATTATAATGGTTTTGTATAAAATAAAGTCATACAGTGAAAGGAAACAGAAATCTAGTTACTACGACCAGCTTGGGCCATTTAACTTCACTTTCACATTATTGCGTTGACATACACCGCATTTTAATCGAACATTTTTCTGTTTTTCGCAATCAATTAAAGATGGAGAAGACATGGAAGTAAAAATAATACGAAGAATACACCCGAAAACATATGCAACTCGAACTTCATGCTTTTTAACAAAAACGGTCACGGTCGAGTAATTACACATTCGATTACAATTTTTGGGGGCCTTCACAGGAAAGTATTGCAAATGAAAGACAAAATTGTAAGAAACTAGTACATTGATGTTGAGGTTTTGAACTTTTTGAAAAAAGAAAAGTGGGGACTTATAGCGAAGGAAACAGAATGCTTCCAGTGAATAGTTTGATGACTATTTCACCATGGGCAGATAGCACATAAAACTATATCACAAGATAGAATGTTTATTCCTCATAATTTTATGTAGAACAAATTCACAGAGGTATAAGAAAACGAGATAATTAACTTGTAATAACGAGATTATTAACCTTAAAACGAGATAATTAACTCAATATGACAAGTTATTTTTTTATCTTCTCAGAAATGAGCCTATCTGGCTTTCGTACATTATAAATTATAACGAGATTATTAACCTTAAAACGAGATAATTAACTCAATATGACAAGTTATTTTTTTATCTTCTCAGAAATGAGCCTATCCGGCTTTCGTACATTATAAATCGATCTTTACGAATTAATATTTAAAAAATAGGACTATGGTGGATCTTCATTTGTCAAGATAGAAAAAGTAATATATGTAATATAGAAGCATTAAGATTAAAAGTACATGTCTTTTTACAACTTCCTCTTACGTCCGTCCTTATTTGGATGAATATTTATAAAGAGCATGTATTTTTTTTTAAGATGAAATTTACTTAAAAAAATGAAAATTATTATAATTTATTGTTTTACCCCTGTATGTCCACTTTGCGAACACAGTATCTTTTTGGTCACAAACTTTCTTATCCACCTTCTCGTTCAGACGTTTAGAGGCGTCCACTACCACAACATAGAAAGCTCTCCTGGTCAGGTAAATCTGGTGACAGGCGTAGTACGCACACTGTCCTCCAAAGTCAAAAAATGTCAATGATTTCCTGGCACCAGTTTCTGGTTTACTTTCATCCATATCTTTATTAGATTTTCTGTCATTTTCCTTAACTAAAAATACAATTAATTTTAAAAGGTACTTTTCAATGAATGCGCTCATAAATTTGAATTATGGCGACCAAAAAATAAAAAAATCCTACATACCGGGGGTAACAAAGTTGATTATTTGAAAAAAAAAAATCAACATTGCTTGATCGTTTAAATGCATTATCCAGTATAGGCGTATCTTTTAATAGTGGCCATTAATTATTTTTTATGTCTTTTTATTTTATTTTCTCAAATTTATCTACAATAGATATATTTTTTAAAAATACTTATTTTAACTTCGTGACCTTAACCTTTAAGTTTTCTCCATTAGCCCTGTAATTTTGCTAGATATTCTAAAAATATTTTTTCACGTAGGAAAAAACTTTTATATGTGTATACATGTAACTGTTACAGTCGTTATTTAAATAAAAAGAAACATATATCAGTCAAGACATTGATATGTTTTAATACAAAAGGATTTTTCATAAGAATTACAGAAGGGTTTAAGGTTTGGTTTTGTTTCCAAATACCGTCCGTAGTTCTATTGTATCTCCGTACTAATTTGTCCTATACAAATACACTGTACAATCGTCACGTTGTACATTAAGATGAAATATTATATAAATATAGCATGTAGTTGAGTGTAACATTGAAAATTTTCACCCCAAGAAAACCATTGTCAACCGAGGTGCAGCCGAGGTTGACAATGGTTTTCGAAGGGTAAAAATATTCAATGTTACACTCAACTACATGCAATATTTATTATATTATACTGAATGTTTTATACAAATACATATTACAGTGAACCGTGTGCGCATAAATTCCGCGCAGTCGCTATTTTTTGGAATACAACCCGTCGTCAAACAATGTTGACTGTTGCTACGCAGGAGGGCGTGGCTTCATTATTCAGCGGGTAGTAGTTTTTTTCATCAAATGTTTCTCGACGAATCAGATTCAAGTAATTTACATGAAAGTATAATATAAATGAAATATCCTTTTCACTTTATTGCATGAATACCTTATTCCATGTATTTGGTCCTTCTAATCTTATTGCACAGACTTTGCAATTCCCTCATGCTCCAAACCAACCCAATTCATTCAACAAATCCCGTAGATAATTTCAAAAATCAAATACATGTAGGTGTTAAATATTGTAATGCACTTGAGAAGAAATAGCCCTGTTACCTTTAGTATTGCATTGTATCCTATTTAGCTCCTATAAATCAATTTCATTTAAGTTAAATTATTTAAATTGGTCTACCTCTTAGTGTGCAATCCTCTTCACAGATTTCAAATATTTCTTCGTGAACCTCAAGTCCTTCTGTTGACTTTATTTCCTTTATTTCCCTCTTACTTCGCTTCAGTAGACGATTCAGTAGCGTAGTTTTCCCGGCCCCTGCACATCCTACAATCATCCCCCGTGCGTGATGGACTTCCTGTACTCCCCCTCTCTCGGCGTAGTGAACGTACCGCTCTCTAGCTTTCTGATCCCATTTCAATATCTCCCTAGGGACTTTTACTGCCAATATAAAAATAAAAGATGAAATTTAAAAAATGAAAATAGATTAAGCGTAAAGAGCAAAAATATATTATCATTATTTTTACTTGTTTAGATCACGTATAAGCATAATTTTTAGCAGTTACTGGAGTATGGAATTTTGGCATTATAAACGAGGTAGCCAAAATTGCTAAAAATGAATATCGCTAAAAATTAAATGCGCTAAATTTTAATAGCTTCTTTAGCGGGCTTTTTAAAATCGCCAAAATAACATCTCGGTAAAATTTCAATGTATGCGGTACATGAATATTAATTAAAAATCTTTTAGTGTAACCCTAAAAATGAAGATGCCAGGATTTAATAAACGACTCATCAGTTTTTTTTTTCAGTGCATTTAAAAGACGAAAATCGTTTTAACATTTCTTTTTCTCATCATAAAACAGGTTATAAATTTCTAAATACACTCATTGATAAAACACTTACTCAGTTATAGATCATCATAATGTAAAAGAATTCTTTTAAGATTTGAATACAATAAACCTATTTAAGCCCTATGCTCGACAATTGACGACAAATAGGTAATGATTTGAACTAATATAAATTTGGTTTGCGTTTTTATGAATGTACATTAATTTAAATTTTTCTCCATGTTGAGTGTCAGAAAAAGGGGAGGGAATTTCTGGATGTTCAAGGCAGTACGTAGATTTCAAGCCCCTCCTCCATCACGTTTCTGACAATTTACTTCATTTTGTCATTTGGAATTTATGGTTTGTGTTTTTATTTATTATTTTTGAAGTAGGATATAGCATTGATTCCGAGATAAAAAACGCAATTTAATGTTGGGTTGATTAAAAAAGTTAGATCCAGCTCCTTTAAAAATTTGAACACGCTATCGTCGCTACACAAAGAAATTGAGTTTTAAAAGATGACAATGAGGCAGATCAGTATTTGGGGTGGGTGGGTGGGGATTATCGGGGGCGTGTATTTTTATTAAATTAACGAGGCCCAATCTAGTTTATAGAAATTACGAAAACTGAATGATAAAAATAATTAATTCTTCGAAATAAATCTTTATGCATTATGCTAAGAAAAATTAGAATGACATTTTGTTACTTTGCCTTTATTGTAGTCAAATAGGGGCACTTTCTAGAAATGGACCATTTTTCGTGCTTTTATACACAATAACATACTAAAACTACCCAATAAACAAAGGAATTGACAAATAAGAAAAACTGAATGATGCAATATATTGTTTTTCACACATATCAAGCAAATTTGCATCCCTCTTTTAAAATCGGAAGTAGCTTTTATTGCAGTGAAAAGGGGGCATATCAAAATACAAAAATAGGACTTATTTTATTCAACTAGGTATTCTAAAAGTCGCAATGGGTTTAAATAACATCAACAGACGATTGTAAGACTGTATTAGTTTTTATAACTTAAATAGGTCTTACAATAGAAAAAATTTTCTCTCCATACTCAACAAAAAATAGTGAGTATAACCACTTCGATATGTTCGAGAAGAAAGATTTAAAATAGTTTACCTTTGGTTGTAGTTTTTTTTCTTAATTACAAATTGAAATTAAAAAGATAAAATCAATAAATCTGTACCAAGAAATCGATACCCCCAAATAAATCATGTTCCAAAGTTCTCTATTAATAAAAAAAAATATGTTTTCTAAAAACATGTAAATGATAGAAATCCCAGAATGAGTCAGCTTTCAACAAGCACAGTCCATAGAGCTATTAGGTATAGAGCAAGTAGGTATGAAAAATCATCAAAACATTTTAGTGCAATTTGACGTCATTTTAATTGTGACGTTATTGTATTCAATTGTGACGGCAGTCAAGGGTACTGTGACGTGCCTGAGTTGACGCTGCGTTAAAACGTATGTGCAGTTCAAGTAGATCAGGCCTCGTTAAAATGCACAATCATTAAGTATCCTTTTAAATCGTTTTGCGAATGAATTGGAAAAAAATAGCTAAAATAAATGCCATAATTTAGTTATTCAAAACACAGTATCAGAAAAACATTTCCCATTCACAAGAAGCCGATGCCACAATAAAAACTTTAATTATGAGTCTCTGGAACAACAAAATTTTTACTTTTCAAATATATCCACTTATCCTGCCGAATCAATATTAAAAAGACGTAGAAATTTATTTAAAGGTCTTTTTGACTTGATCTAGCAGTTAAAAAGCAGAATATAGTAAACGATACTCCAATTAATAATTTGGTAATTTTAGTTAATTACAAGGTGCGTGGTTAGGGATTTTACAAGTTGTGAAAAATGTAAAAATGAGAAATGCAAAATCATAAAAAAAGGTAAACAATCAAACGTAGGAAATGTTATTTTTTCACAAGTAATACTTACAACATCTACTGACGCTGTCATGAATCCTTTCGTCAGACAGGGTACAGTGTGTGATGATGTCCAGCTGTAGTTTGTCTATAAAGAGGTCATACATCTCCTCCGGTCTGTCTGATACATACAGACATCTCTCTCCCTCAGTCCTCTCATAACACCAGGACCGGCAGTATTCCGATATCACGTCACGTGACGCTGTGGTCAGGAAAAACTCCAGATCACTGTCCTCCATCAGACACTCCGTAACAAAGGCGTACATGACGTCATGTCTGATGTCGTCTGATATAAACGTTATCACACCGTTATGTGTTTTCTTGACATCACGCTGAAGGGTTGTCACATCAGCATCATCAGACGGAGAAATCTTTTGAAAATACCTTTCCCGTATCTTTACCAATATTGACCTGAACGTCTCTCCATTTACAGTAGCAGTGTACTTGTCACACAACAGTAAACCATAAAGAACACTTTTTTCCACTTCTGAATAGTTATGATACTTGCCTAAAATGAATGAAATCCAAAAGTTAAAGGGTCACATGTTCATGTATTACCAATAACAGGCCAATTTAGAAAACGTTTTATCAAAGAATACTTTCTCAGACAATTCCACTACATGTACGTTTTTAGACAAAAAAAAATTGATAAAACAGAGTCTTTTTATGATTGCCTTTATAAAAATTATTTTATACGTACAGAAATGAAAAAAATCGGGCACTTTATGAAAGCTGCATGTATACTTTAAACGTTGCATGTATTTGCTCATTTTTCGTATTTCGGTTTGAAAAAAATGTAATGTATATACAGTATTGTATTTTTCGGAAACACCGATCTATAGTTTCATGTGGAGGGGTATTCAATTCTCTAAAAGGGCTATTTATAAATGTAACGGTTAATTTTTCGCATAATAAAAGAGCGCGAAACGCGCACCATACTTTTTTAACCGACAGTTTATTTATAGAGTTTCTGTCCTTGCGCCAGGTATTTAATTTTATTTAGAGATCATATTATTAAAAACTTCATAAAAATTCTGTTTGAATATTAATCTAGTAGTTATCTATTTTTTATAAATTTTCAGTGCAGTAATTTGAATTTATAAAATTATTATTTTGTTGAGTAAATCTCTAAGATTTAAACTGGTTCGTCAAGTAATTTATTTATACTCACTGTGCTGACGCCCCTGTGTTGAATGGAACGTGTTCGAGTTTGAGAGTGATACGTGTTATGGTAAGAATGGTGTTAATTTTGTGTTTTATTTAACTTGAATTACACTAAATATTATATCTTTTTATCGTTATTATAATAAATACCGGTATATTGTTTATTTCAATGTAGAGACCACACACGCAGTGTAAATTCTTTTCATGTATGAGTGACCGGGTGTGGCATCGCCATATTTTGGTGGTATGTGTTCGTTTGAATTTAACTTGATTTGCTGATTAATTATTTTATTTTTGGTTGTGTGTTCTATTGGAAATGTGTGTATATATTTTTGTTTGTTTGTAGCTCATTGCCAATTTGAAATTGAATTAAAATAAAAGAACCGTAAAAAAGAACTTGACTTTACTCGTTACAAATGGCGTCGTGGACATACAATTAAAAAAATCTTTTGGCAATGAGTTACTTCTAGGCCCACACTCGATGACAACTTCGGAATTCTGAAGTGCCTTTTGCCTTTGTCGACGTTAAGCATACTACAGTGTCATTCGATTGACGTTTCTGATGTCCTGAGTTCAAAGTTAACTACCAGTAAACCGAGTGTATTCGACAAAGACTTAGTTTGGTTTATGATCAACGGCAACGAAACGGACATCTGAGTATTCCAAACAACGCCCATTGAGGTGACAAAAAACTTCACCTGTTTATAACTGTAAATGCACTTTAACAATAGGAATTGTGTAATTATATCTGTGCATTAGTGTATTAATCCACTCTTTCAAAAATGTCTACTAAGAGGGAAATCAACAGCAACACTTCACCAGAGATTGAAGAAAACTGAAAGTGCTTTGTGTTTAAAAGAAATAGAAATGAAATATAAAAATGAACCAAAACCAAATAAAGCTGTCTATGTTGCGAGAGAGAAAAAGATTGCAAGGTTGTGTGGTAGACCTGTGAAAGAGAATGACCCCGATGTAGCAGAATGGTTAGATGATGCTAGGCAACATTTAAAAGTTATTGATGATGAAGATGCAAAGATAGGTTTTTTGATGGATAATTTAGGTGGTCAGGCAAAAGATAAAATAAGATTAAGACCTAGAATGGAAAGAAATATATCTGACAAAATTTTAAATATCATTAAAGATGTTTTTACAAGTACAGAAACTTTGGGCGCGTTGCAACAGCAATTCTATCAAAGAGATCAGAAACATGGCGAGTCGTTGCAAAATTACTCTTTAGCATTAATGAAATAACACGACAAGATCGTGGCAAAAGATTACAAAGCTGTAAGCGATTTCGATTTGATGCTAAAAGAACGGTTTGCTGAAGGCATTTGCGATTCATCTCTCCGAAGAGAGATTAGACGTTTTTCATTCGAACAGAAATATATGCCTTTTGGTGAATTTAGACAAACAGTGTTACGATGGTCTGAAGCCACTAGGTAAGTCATGCTCAGTACATGAAACTAGCATTCAAGAGAGTATGAAAACAAAGGTTACAAAATCACATGATGATGGTCAATTATTTGAAATTCTTGATATTCTTAAGTTGCAACAAAAGCAAATTGATGAAAATCAAAAAAATTACAGAAATCATCAAAAGAGGTTATGTGAAAAGTAAATCCACAGTTTGAAACTAAACCCTTGCAAGGAAGACAATTTCCTAAAGTCAAACAATCCCATTTAACATGTTTCCGTTGTGGTGGAAAGGGACACAAAGTACAAGACTGTAGTACTCAGTTAGAAAACAACAATCCTCCACGTAAAGGTAAGTCACAAGGGGCACCTGTCTCTAATTTTCCTTTAAAAGCGAAGCGTCTGTTGTAGAGAGTCGCCCAGCAGACGAAAGTGAGAGGATAAAAGACTCATTTGATCAGGGGATCATAGAGAGAGCTTTAAAACAATGTCCTGTCGTAACAGTACAGATTGAAGGTAAGCCAATTTCGTGTCTGATTGACACTGGTTCACAAGTATCTACTATCACTGAAACTTACTTTCGAGATCTGTTGAAAGCTGAACCTAAATTAATTGACGTTACGAAGTGGATGAAAGTGTCTGGCGCCAATCACTAACCTATACCATACATTGGTTATATTGAGGAAGTGATAGACACTGCTCATGGTCGTGTACCAAATGTTGGAATACTGGTGGTTAAGGATACCACAGACCAATATGGTAAGCAGAAAAAGTTACAAGTTCCTGGAGTACTCGGGAGTAATTTCTTCCATATTCTAAAGGGACAAGTTGAACAAAATTTGTATTCAGTCACTGAGAAGAATGATCAGTTGTTAAATACTTTGTCGATTTTTGAAATGAATACGTCAGTTTACGGTTCTCAAAGATCTAGTTTTGTCAAAGTTAGGGGTCAAGATCCTATTAAAATTCCTGCAAATTCAATGAAATTTGTTTTAGGTACTGCACGTCAGACGTCCAAGAACACTTCAGTGGGTTGGTTCAAGCTGTCCATGGCAATAATGGTACTCTACCGAAAAACATCTTGGTGATCGATACCTACGCAGATGTAGAGAATGGTATGATTCCAGTTCGAGTCGTAAACATCGGAGATGAAGATGTTTGGTTGAATCCAAAGACCAGGATCGGCATCCTATATGACGTCAACGTTGAGTACGCTGCTCAGCCCAACTTTTAGGCAGAAATTGAGGTAAGTACTCGATTAATTCAAGTACACATCGAAAATATTCATGAGAACTTTGAAAGGCTAGATGACGTCAAAGCAGTAGTAAGCAAAGATAAAGCCATACAAATTCATGGTGTAGAAGTAGATGTCGGAGGAATCATATCAGATGACGAGAAAGAAAGGTTGGTATCAGTTCTGAATAAGCATCAGACGTTTTCTCCAAAAACAGTGATGATCTGGGTTCTACCGATACGGTAAAACATAAAATATTTACCACAGATGAAGTTCCTGTCAAATTGCCACACAGACGTATACCTCCGAATCAAATCGAAGAAGTGAAGTTGCACATTCAAACTCTTCTGAAACAAGGTATTATTAGACCCATTACAAGTCCATATGGAGCCGCTGTTGTATTAGTCCACAAGAAAGACCGTACATTACGTCTTTGCGTCGACTATCGGCGACTAAATCTCAAAACAATCAAAGACGCATTCCCAATTCCCAGGATTGAGGAGACACTAGATGCACTTCATGGCGCTAAATTCTTTTCTACATTAGATCTAGCACAAGGTTTCTATCAGGTACAGAGAGATGAGCAGGATCGCCAGAAAACGGCATTCAGAGTTGGTCCCTTGGGTTTGTATGAATTTGTCCGCATGCCCTTCGGTCTTTGTAATAGCCCAAGTACTTTTCAAAGGTTAATGGAATCTTGTTTAGGTGACAAAAATTTCGAAATCCTTCTTTTGTATCTCGATGATATTTTTGTCTTTTCTTAATAGGCTTGAATTTGTTTTCAACAGATTAAGATCTCACAATCTAAAAATAAAACCTTCAAAGTGTCACTTTTTCCAAATAGAGGTCAAATACTTAGGTCATGTTATTAGCAAAGACGGTGTTAAAGTTGACCCAGAGAAAATTTCTGTAATCAAAGAGTGGAAAACTCCTCAAACAGAAAAAGAATTACGTTCCTTTTTAGGCCTAGCTGGGTACTATCGAAAATTTATTAAAGGGTTTAGTCAAATTGCTGCTCCTCTTCATGCTGTATTGTCTAAACAAGAGAAAAAGACCAAAGGTATGAAAATCGTAACAAGGCAAATTTCGTTCAAACATAAATGTAATTCAGAGTGTGACAATGCTTTTGAAAATCATTTCTTACAAACACTGCAGTTTTAGGTTTTCCAAACTTCAGCTCTCCATTTATCGTAGAAACAGATGCCAGTTTCGATGGATTTGGTGCAGTTTTGAGTCAACGGCAGGAGTCAGGAAGAGTTGTGATCGCCTAAGCATCTAGAAGCCTTAGACCAGGTGAGAGGAACATGTCGAATTACAGCTCCATGAAATTGGAATTACTTGCTCTCAAATGGGCGGTAACTGAAAAGTTTCGAGACTATTTGTTAGGGAGCAATTTTATCGTATACACTGACAACAATCCCCTTAGTTATTTCAAAACAACAAAGTTAGCAGCCA